AGGATATTTCCTATGATCAGCTGAGCCCCAATACCACATAGAGCAAGGCCAGTCCTCCATGGGCACCTGATAGGGGATCCGAAGTTGCTGTCCATCCTGGGCCTCCCAGGAGCTGCTGGTCCTCTGGAGCAATGGAAGAACTGCTTCAAAGTGCAAACAGGTTGCAGATTAGAAAGTGATAACCTGTAAGGTGGCTGGCATCTTGCTCAGTAGAATGCACTCTAGATCTGTTCTCCTCACCGGCCAGCAATAAGTAGAACACAGGATCCACTAACCAAATGTAGAATGAACACATTTCTTATCATTTCTTTAGTATTTTATAGAAATTTGTACTTCCTGCCCCAGAGGTTTAGATTTTGAACTTCTCCACTTGTCAATTAAGGTTTATCTGTTTGTACTTTAAACTATGCAAAATTAAATTAAAATTGTAGCTCCTCAATAACACTAATCACATCTCATTACTAACTGGCAACATATAGTGGGTCCCCTATTGGACAGAGCTGGTGAAATGTATTCATTTTTCAAGGGGAATACTTCCAGCAAGAGAAACAATGAGAGTCCTAGTGAGCTTTAAGCTTTAACTCCCACCAGGGTGCTTTTTTCGAATGCTAGGGATGGTTCACTCAAACAGTTGATCCTGCACATGCAAAACCGATCCTGCAGGACTGAGCTCCCCTCTCCATTCCTCACCTGTGGGTTTTCTGGTCCTCATGGTTTGGCACCAGCAGACACAGACAGGAGTCAACATCCTGTAGCGTAAAGGACCCTCTTCTTCACAAGAAGGCAGTGATGCTCTTATGCACTAGCAAGAGAGACGTGTCCCAGTGACCTCCTTTAATATATCTTGGTGATTGTTTGCCTGATTTCATACCCTGGAAAGGGCTCAGAGTCCTGAGGGAGGAGGGTTTGTGTATACTACTAAGTGCGCTGTTGTGACTTGCACTGCAAAGTGGAACTGTAAAAGCTTGGCATTTACGGAGGCCGGGGATTTAGCTCAGTGGTGCCACCGCCTGCCTTGCAAGCGCAAGGTCCCAAGTTCCATCCCTGGTACCAAAAAAAAAAAAGTTCGGGGTTTTTTCTTTTCTTTTAGTGTTAGGCAACATATCCACACTTCCTCCTGAGGAGTACATAACCAACACCTCCGCATCTACTCAGTCCCAAAGTAGTGACAGGATATGCAGATGCCACAGCCCAGGAGCCTGGTGCCTGGTATCCTTTCCTCAAGAACATGGAGAATGAGCCGAGGATGGCGGGAAATGACGAAGCAAGTGTGGAGGTCTGCATGGACTTTATGTGTGCTCTCTCCCCTCTGTTCCTAACAGTAAAAGGCCCTTACCACCTCTGTAAGGTGAGATGGAGGTTTGAGACGAATGAGGCATTCCTCCTCCACAAAGCTAGCTTTACATAAATATTTTGTCCTTTATGCCAAAATATATGGCCTCCTTTGTTTTAATCATCTGCAAATCAAGGAACCTATCTCTATGAACCTTAGTGGCCTGTGCAACTACCAGGAACACCAGAGGTGCTGGCTGGGATGGATGGCTCCCTGGAACAGATAGTAGACTAACAGTGTGGCCTAGGAGCCAACAGCAATAGAGGGCACAGTGTTTGTGTACAGTGCTTTCTCATGAGAACTGCTTGAGAGAACAATCAATCGATTCCTTGAGGAGCAGTCCTCCAAGGTTGTGAACTTCCCTGCTATGAAATGAGCAGATTGAACTTCTTCTTAGAAGAATCTATTCAAATCAAGGCTCACACCCGCACTGACTGGCTGCAGAGTACCTGCTTTCAGCTCAGATTTTACACATGGGTCAGGTTTAACAGATCTCCCGTGGAACAGAGAAGTATTCATGGTACATTTCTGGTGTGTACACACCTCAGCTCCTCAAGAATCATACAACTTCTGAACATAATTCTTACGAAGGATCTTCAGGGAGAGATAGTTGCATGTTACCATCACCACCAGGTCCTCTCTTGGGCTGAGCAGGTGGGAGTAGGGACAGAGACAGCAGAATGCTCCAAACTGGGCAGGGTGAGGCCAGGTGCAGGAGAGGGTGGGCCAATGGGGCACAGCAGCAGGAGGCAGAAACCCCCAGGCAGCAAAGGGATTTGGGCAATTTTGGCCACCACCTGCCCTCACACTGGGGAGGACATCACAGATGTGCTGGGATTGACAGGTGTGCCCAGCCTGAAGGGTGAGGGCAGCATGAAGCAAACTCTGCAGTCAGCATCTATGGGGCAGCTCCTGCCCAGGGTCTTCAAGGTACAGAATCAGCTTGCTCCTGTCAAAGGGAGCAAACATGAGTGGTTGAGCCTCCTAGGTGTGTAAACAGAGAGGGCCGGGTGCTGTGTGGCCATGGTTTGAGAATTCATCCAGGACTCTGCAGCATCTCCTGTAGAAATGGCTGTAACAAATAGGTAATGGGTCTGCTAAAGTTTCAGTGGCACAGGATCATCTAATGACGCTTCCTAAGGACAAGTGGTCTATAATGCTCACATGGCTAGAACAGCAGGGAAGACAAGCTGTGTGTGGATGAGGACATGTAGTTTCACCAAAAGTGGTCACATAGTAGATGCTTACCAAAAGAAACAAATACGATTTATTAAAATAACATTCCCTTCTTTTCTGTGAGGATTTTTTGAGAAAGTAAGACAGGCCTGGGAATTCTTCAGCTTTTTCAAGTGCCACTTACTATGCAGCACATGCTTCGGGTACAGAATCAATCGCATTTACATATTATGCTGACCTTCTCTGAACACCAGAACTAGTTTCATACTGAAAACCAGAACTTGCCTGTGGTGAGGGACACAAACCAGAGATAGTACAAGGAGAGTATTATTTTCTTTTATTTTGAGATTAAGAAAGAAGCATGTACCTCATACTCAGAGGACTTCAGAGTTAGAGGAATTCAGCCACAGCAGATGTTTTTCTTTCCTCTACTGCGGTGAGCATGGTCCTGCCTCACCTACGGCTTCTCAGGGAGCTTTGGGTTTGACCACCCACATAAGCACACGCACCTGCACGTGTGTGTCGTGGACCTATCCTAGTAACTCATTCCATTAAAATCCTACAAAAATGTCAAGATGGTCTCAAAAACTGTCCTAATTTACCTGCTAGGACAAGGAGTAGATTACTCTGCATGTCAAACTCCTTATCACCCATTTGGGAAAGCTTCAGAGTGTGTTAATTTGCTTCTCAGGTACAGAACCCAGGGACTAAGCCTCATAGTCCAAGGATAACTTTTAGGTCAAAAGGTCTGTTGCTATTGGAGGGTTTCCATGGTGAGCAAAGTGACGGCCAGGGCCTTCTACATGCCGTGGGCGAGGGCAGGTGACTCTGGGCAGTTCCCAGGGAGTAGGGGGCACCCATCGCCCGCTCATCTTACATTCTTAATTCAGGCCAGGTGAGTGCCTTGGACACGGGAACTTTCTGCACCCTGAGAGGTATTTTCATTTCTCTGAGTACAGAGCTGAACTCAGAAACAGAGCCGGGTTCAGGCTGGGAGGAGTGGGAACAGGGTGGCCTCTAGATGACCTCACACTGAGAGTCCAGTCCTGGCCTTGTCATTTACCACACAGGGATCCTGAGAAGCTCCCAAGCCCAGCAGGCCTCAGGTTCTTCATCTATAAAATGGGTTTGACACATTCTTGGTTGTAGGACTGGTGGAATAAAGAAGTGTACTGCAACATCTGGCAGAATGCCTGATGTATATTGAATATTTGTTGATAAGCAGCTGGTTCTAGTATTACCTTAATCCTGGATACTATCATGCTTTTCTTTTAAAATTTGTGTGTAGTTTCTCTGGGAGGCTGCGGCTAAGTAGGAAACTGAAAACAAAATCAGGCAAAAATGATACTCGGTGAACATTCCCCCTATATGTTTGCACCAGCAGGATGTATTACTTAATTTGATGTTGGGGAGTATTTTCTCCCTGGGACCAATTAGTTCACAGCTTTAGAAATTTGAGTGAAGAACCATATCTCCCTCCCTGCCAGATTCTCTTCCATTGGAACAACTATTTTTGATCATAACCCCTTCAACAAAATTCTATCCTTGGGCGTCACGAGGCTCTATGACAATTAGGTCTAAAGCCCAGTCCATTCTAGTGACAAGGCCAGCTCAGCACAGATTCAGTTCCAAGAAACTTCAAGCAAAATTACACATCCTGATAACAGCAGTACATACCTTCCTCGAAAAAGAAACACTAGAAAATTGAGCCGGTCTAAGTCCTGCTATAAGACAGGGAGAAGCCTCCCATAAACTCTTAGAAAGCTCTCTGGAGGGAGAACCTCTTTGTCAGGTATTCATGGGATCATTTATGTAAATGTCCCATGCTACTGGCCAGATTCTGACTCCTATCTTGGAAGAGTGTCAGTCAACAGTAGCAATGCAGGTCGCTGGAATGTGGACATACTCACTGGACTGGGGAATACACAGCCTCACTTAACCTCCTAGTCTCTCCAGAAATCCTTGCAGAGCCTGGGGATAAGTCCCCTGGTTGGTACCCTATGTAGGATCATTCTTCTCACAGCTGTCCCAGGTGAGGATTCCTCTCAGCTTCACCCACCATTTGAAAGCTCTGCTCAGAGCAGTCTTCCATCCTCTCAGGCCCAGGCCAGCTCATCTGAGGGTCTGGTCCTGACCACTATGCAGCTGAATTAAAATCAACTCCTCCAGAAGCAACACCAGTTACCCCAAAACCCAGTGTGTCATGGCTCAGCACTAACCTATGGCTGCTCTCTGCTAGACTCCACATTCTCAGTGCATTTTTACAGTCCTGATGGGACCCTTGAGGACATCTCTCTATCTCCTGTCATTGGTGGTACTTGTAGCTTCCACCATGCTATGGGATAGGTATGATCCTGCTCACTGTAGCTTACTCATGTCTCGACCACAGACACAGGGCCTTCCAATGGGCTCAGGTGCAATGAAGGTTTTTGGATCAATGGGTCTGTGAACAGATGGGCTTCTTTATTGACAGTAAATTTGTCTTGTATAATTGAAGAAACCAAGCATATTTGGGTAAGCATATATTTTAATTGGATAAAACAACAGAAAAAAGTGAAAAACCAAATATTGGTCTGTATCCTTATGTCTATTTCTGTACTCCATCTAACTTGATGTGAACTTTTTACTCATTTTCATGGAAATTCCTATTCCAATATTGTAGTTTCTTCTTCAAAATAAAATGGAAGTTTTCCAAGTTAGTTTAATACAAAAACAGTTTTACACTTGGAATGGAAGAACAAAATTTCTATATGATCGATATCACACAAAATCATATTCACATCAGAAATCACAATCAACCCTCAATATCACAAAACTACAAATACATGTGAGATCAGTATCGTTATTCAAAGATGTGCAATTGTGCCAAACTTGCAAAAATGGAACAAGATTTCAAAAAGTCATAAAGAAAACACAAGTGCATTTCCAAGGAACCCAAATAGAACAGAAATCAACATGGTACGCATGGGGTTTTACCCCTCCCCTGGCTCTTCAGTACTTAGAAAGCTATGTGCTATCCAGAAACAGAGTGAAGAGTGGGAGTCATTTCTCATGGGGTGGGAACTAAGACAGTGATGTGGTTAGGAACACTTCCTGTCTCTAGCACTAACCTTCCCCCTGCACTGCCCCGTATCTTAGGAATGGGCAGCTTCTGATTCCTCTCTCAAAGCTTCCTCATACAGACGTGTGTAGGACCTGGGATCTCTCTTATTAACCTTGGCCAGATGCTCCAGGACTTTCATCTTGCTGGTTTCAGCCTTAGCCCTTGGCCCCCACAGGAACTCATAGTGAGCAGGATCACTTTTGGGCACCTGCCGATATTCTAGATATCCTGCTTGTACTAAATCCTCTGTGATGAATTTCCAGGGCTCCTCAATTACAAAGTGATCCTTCTGAGGTAACATTTCCCTTTTTCTCAGGTATTCCTTTATGTCCTCCTCACTGGCACGGTTACCTTTCAAGAAGATGATAGTCAGGATGACTATCAGGAGGTCAATTTTGGTAATGCTCTTGTAATCATTACTGAGTATCCTATTATAAGTGAGGCCCAAGATAGGCAAAAGGACATATCTGTGGCCAGAGGGATCTATTTCCCTTATATCAATGCCAAAGCCCAAACACATGCACTTACAGACTTCTTTGAACATCAGAAGGAAGTGCTCATGGTAATCATAGTCCACAATGTGCAATATTTCTGCCCTGGTGATTAGCTCCCTCTTTTGATACTTGAGGAGCAGGACTGGCAACAGTTTAGCAATCTTGTCATCTAGGAACACATGGCACAAGAACTGAAGGACTAGTGACTGCTGAGAGGTGTACAGATCTTCTTCTTCCCTGCTGGAACACTCACTAGATTTGCTCCTTTGCCTGGAGGCCATGGCAGTGGTGGAGAGAAGATGCCCTGAGGATTTTGAGAACAACTTGGTGTCCCAGCCCGAGACACTTCTTTTGCTGTAGCAGGGATTTGAGTACTGAAGGAAGAGGACACAGAGGAAGCAGTGGCTGCTACTTCCTCTCTTATTGGCTTTAAAACCTCCACACCTGCCAGACCCTGTGACCTCCTCCTAGCTTGCTGGGCTGTTTCCTCTGACCATGAAGATGTTTCAAGGTTCCTTGGGGTCACCAAGAGCTTGGTGATAATGATGCAGATGCCTGAAGGAGAGAGGAAGACTGTGAGTGTTCTTACATGACAATAGCACTCTTTTCAGCTCCTACAAAGATCCACTATAGGTCTCTTCAGGTGGTATTCACAGGCTCCTGTCCTCCTAAAGGCATCTCCCAAGAATCCTCCCAAGAATCTGGAACAGGAAGTGAGACTGATCCTCAGGCTGCAACTGAATCACATAGGACAGGCTCTTGGACAGACAGTAGGGCTTGTGGGGCCTGGGCACAAGGATACCCAGATACACATTTAGGACAGGTGCCTCACTTTGACTCCCGGGGCTTCTGTGCTGTGTGATCTGGTGCCACTGCCTCAGACCAAGACCTTCATCTCCTGGTTCCTGGATCTCCTGTAAGAGGCATGGAGGCCCCTCAGACTGTAGAACAGAACAGCCCTGGTCCTCCAGTGCTCACAGGATAGGGTGGACTGTACTCTATTTTGTCCCCACTATTTGGAATGAATGGCCCCCTTTCTGCTAACTCAGGACCCTCAACTCTCCTTGAGCAGGGCCCAGACCAAAGCCTATCGGCCTGAGGCAAACTCTCAGAAAAAGTGTCTCCCTCCATGATAGGGAACAAAAGGCAGTAAAAAGAATATACATCTGAACACAGCTGCTTGAGGGCAACATCTGGAGGTGGAAAACATCATTTGGGTCCATGTGCCCTAGGAAAGGGAACCTGCTCCAGCCTTATCTTAATAAATGGGAAGGTCCAGGACTCTCTCTGGGATGACCTGGGCCCACCTTCTTTAAATCACAGCCCTCAAAGAAGTGAGGGGAAGCCATTCTACCTGTGTTCCCTGGGTTTCATGACAAGCAACTAAAGGACAGGTTGAGGCTAGGGTACTGTGTGTTTTGTTGGCAGGGTTCCCTTTGCCTCACCTAGCCCCTTGATAGACCCTGGATTCATACTTTTGCTGTATGGATTTCTGCTCCTTTGTATGCAGCCTTTACCTCCCTGAGAGAAATGATGCTGAACTAAGAGAGCTGACTCAGCCTGACAGCACTACTCAGGCTTCCTTCCCTGCATGACCGAGGACTCAGGGAATATATCTGTAGAGCAGCCACCATCTGTGTTCTAGGCAGGTTATCCTCAATCTTCCATTAGGGTAGTCACTTTGACTCCTGACAGATATGGGAAGCATGTGTCTCCTGACCAGGTGCTGTTCCCTGTGCCAACCTGAAGACAATCTCTTAGATCAAGTTGCTCACCTCCTTGAGATCCCCAGGATTCTCAAAAGAAGTGAGCAGGCACCCATCCTGTCATACCTACATGGGGACATCAGTGCTGACTATAATACCTGTGCCACTCTCTCCTATAATGCAGGACCCCTGCTATGGCTTAAGTTTAGATGTTCCCCAAAACTCTCATGGGATCATAGGCAGGAAAATTTGGAAGATGGTTGAATTATGGGGTCTTATACCTAACTTACTGTTAGGAAATGGGGCCTTTTAGGAAGAAGAAGGTCACTCTGGATGTGACAGGGCAGGTTATGTCTTCCTTCTGGGCTCCTCTCTTCAGTGACTGCTTTCTGTGGGACTTGTGGCACTTAGCTTTCCTCCCACATGGCCCTTCCACTGTGTTGTTCTGCCTTGGAACTGGCTGGCTATGGACTGAAAACTCTAAAAATTGTGAGCCAAAATCAACTTTTCCTCCACTGAATTGCAGGTGTTAGGAATTGTATCTCAGCAATGAGAATACGAGTAAGATATCCTCTCTGTGCTTCTGTAGTTTCTCCATCTTGCTCCTGTCCATACCTCCTCTTAACTCCCTGATGACTTTCCACCTTCCTGCCTGTGTTAGAAGTTAGCATGCCACTTAGGACCCTCAAAGGCTAACCCAGGAGAGAGGCAGACTGTCTGTCTGTTGTTCCTGGATAGCAGGCACACTCAGTCCTAAGAACGCGGTCATACCTTAAGTCTGTCAGCTAATAGGGTCCTCCATTTACTAAACATATGCAGCTTTCTCTGATGACTTGTGGTCACTTCTTGGACCAAGGTCATCACTTCCCTCAATGCTTCCAGCTGAAATCCCTTAGCAGAATTGCAAGGAATCATTAGCAGCGCCCCCTACCAGGAACTTCAGGCTGATAATAGGGGAAGCCAGGCTCTGTGGGTTACCTTCAAACCTTCAGTACTGGAAAATACAGTGGTGAGCAATAGCAATTCAACCTATCCAAGATTCTCTTATCTCATCTTGGAGTGAGAGGAAAAAAAGAAAAATGAGAGAGACAGAGAGACAGGGGTGGGGCGGAGATCCCTGGGAATCCAGAAGGAAATGACAGGAAAAGTAAAAAGTATAAAGAAGTATAAGAGACAGACTACCACACAGAGAAGGGGAAAACACAGTCTGGACTTTCTACATATCTGTCTCATGGGAAAGCAATTGAATCTATACAAAGAGGAACCTGTGGGATTGTAGGAGGTCCCACTTAGAAAAGGCAATTGTTCAATGGACTGGCAGTTACTGTGATCAGCAGGGATAGTGTGGAATTCCACTCCAACAGAGTCTTTACACAGAAAGCAGTGGGTGTGTGATGCCTATGTAGGTGCCTGCCATATCCTTGGAGAGTGCATATGTTTGGGTTCCACTCTGGGAAAGGGTTAAGTGTTTGAACCTGGGATCAGAACAGCTATGGGACAGCTTCTCTTCAGTGTTCCCAGCATTATCCTCCCACAGTGACTGAGAGAGAGAGAGCCTCAGGAATTTGCCCTGGACCTGGACAGGTGAAGGGCTGAAAAGGGACCCCATGATGGATTTGAGTTCAGCTGGGAAGGGCACAGGGCCCTCTCCCTTTGGTCAAAGGTCAGGCCCAGAATGACTTGCTCTGGATTTGAAAGTTTTGGCTTTGTTATTCAAATTCTTACCCTTTTCCTTGTATCCTTGAACCCAGCATGGATCTGGGGACTGGCTGACTTCTTTAACTACCAGTGTGAGCAGGGACACCTTTTGACTTGGACACACCTACAGCCTGGGAAAAGCAGAGGGGCATCTAAGAAAATCAAGAATTACTACACTACAAAATTCTGGATCCAGAAGGAAACTGTTCATTTAAAATCAGAAAGAAATTTTTTTCTTATTTTTTTCTCATATCTTTTTTCTTTTATTCCCATACTTTTAATCTTCCCTCATATTTATTCTCCATTATCTCCATATTTTTATTCTCCATTATCTTGTTTTTTCTTCAGTTTTTCTTGTTACCTTTACCTAATTTTATAAACATCCTTCTAGCCCCTAATAGGATCCTTTGTCCCACTACTCTGTCCTCCTTCTCATATCATATAATTTGACCTTTCATATTTTTCTTATTGCATTCTCCCTTTCCAAGTACCCTGTATCTTTATTAGTATAACCATTAAGATATATTAATCTTTATACAATTAGTTAAGACTATAATATTACCATTTACTTTTTTGACCATTAGCGGAGCTATAGCTGTTGCATTTAGTACATATTTGCTATATGTCAGTATTTGGGTTTTCTTTATGTTATACTAAAATTGTAGATTTTAATAAATGGTGCTCAAAAACCTGGCTTTCTACATGCTGAAGACTAAAACTAGACTCATGTCTGTCACCGTGCACTAAACTAAAATCAAAGTGGATCAAAGATCTAAATATAAAAACAGAAACACTAAACCTGCTGGAAGAAAGAATGGGTAGAATGCTTGAGGACATAGGAATAGGCAAAGACTTCATGAACAAAACCCTGACTGCACAGAAAACATTACAAAGAATCAACAACTGGCATATCATATTATTAAAAAGCTTATGCACAGCAAAAAAAAAATCACCAACAGAGTGAAAAGATAACCCACAGAATGGGAAAAAATTTACCCAATGGTTCCTCAGACAAAGGACTAATATCTAGAACATATAAAGAATTTTTAAAAATCAGATCCTCAAATTTAAAGATTTAATCCAAAAGTGGGCATCTGAGATGAATACACACTTCTCAGATAAAGAGGTAGAAACAACAAATAAATACATGAAAAAATGTTCAACATCACTGGTCATTCAAGAGATGTAAATGAAAACAACGCTGAGATTCCACCTCACTCCAGAAAGAATGGCTGCTTTCAAGAAATCAACCCACAAAAAATGCCAGCAGGGCTGTGGGGGGAAAGGAACCCTTCTCCACTGTTGGTGAGAGTGTAGACTGGTGCAACCATTCTGGAAATCAGTGTGAACATTCATCAAAAAATTAGGATTAGAGGTCATCTCTCCTGCTCCTACCTGAAGTAGGAACCCGAGAACCAAGTTCTGACTTCAAGGGGTGGCCTGAGGTCAAAAGAGGTACTCACCTAAGAATTCACAATGGCAAAGTGCAGTGCAGTCAGCAGAGGCAGATATGGGGTATTTGGGGACCTTCCACTTGGGATGGGGCTTCCTTTCTCCTTCTCAGCTCCTGAACTTAATCTAAGCAATCTCAGGTCCTATCTTCTCAGCTCACCTGAAGTGCAGAACTCAGAAAAAGGCTCCAACTCTCAGGGTCCTCTGTGACACACTTGGGCAAGGGGCTTATCCCTAAAAATCTGTGCCTGTGTAGTGCAGGGCCCACAGCAGAGGTAGATCTGGATTACCTGGAGAAACTATATGTGAGGAGAGGCTTTAACAGTGTTCCCGTAGCTTCTCATCTTGACCTAACTAAGTCAAATCCTATTTGTTCCCTAGACCTGAAGTACAGCCCTCAGAACTAGGCTCTGACTCTCCCCTCCTGGCGCCTTGAGGTCAAAGGGGTACTCCTCTGAGAATTTTCACCTGGTGCTGGGCTAACTACAAAGGCAGATCTAGGTTATTGTGGAACCCCTCTCTCTCAGGTGATGCTTCTTCACTCTGCCGTCAGCCCTGCCTTGACCTACCTAACCCCAGGCCTTTTACTCCTGCAACCTGAATCTTGGTCCTCAGCAAAAGGCTGATTCTCAGCACCCAGTGAAGAGAAAGGGGGAGTTCTCCTGAGAATCTTGCACTAGGTGGTGCAGGGCAGGCAAACAAGGATTTTCTAGAACATTCAGAAATCTTCTTACTGTGCTGGGGATTCCTCCATACCCCCCACTGTGTCTCACCTGGACCTAACTGATCTCAGGCCCTCTCTGCTCCTCTCACCTTAAGTTCAGTCCTCAAAACAAGGCTCTGATGTCCTCTCAGGTCCCAGGGAGGACAAAGGGAGCCTCTTGGAAAATTCTGTACTTCTTGCTGCAGAGCAGGCAACTGAGGCTTTTCTAAGAATGTTCTGGGACCCTCTCTCTGGGATGGGGTTTTCTCAGTCCTCCTCAGCCTTCACTTTGACCTAATTGAACACAGGGCCTCTTCATTCCTCCTACCTCCCTGAAGCCTGGACCTCAGAACAAGCCTTTAACTCTGCACCTGAAGCAAAATCTGGGCCCCTACCTTACAATTCTTTCCCGGTGTACAAGGCTGACAGCACAGGTAAATCTGGATTGTTCCAGTTCCCTCTCTCTAGGGTGGGGCTTCCTCACTCCCCCCACAACCCTCATCGTGACTCCTAAGTGAGCCCACCCCAGCCCTCTTAGTTCCCCTCACCTGGTATGCACCTCACAACAGGATCTCCTGTAGTTCTGACCCAAAGCAAAAGCAGTGAGTGGATGTTATATCCAGGAATGTGCACGGGGTCTCCCAGGTTTCAAGCAGGAGCAGAAAGGAATTCTTCAGGTCCCTCCCCCCTCCCGAGGGATACACATCTTGGTTCTTGGTAGAGACTGTAGCCCAGTCCTCTATGGACCTGATTCTGTTCCCCACTGTCCAAGGCACTGTCTCCCTGGGTCCTTTGAGGCTGCAGCTCATTCTAATAAATCAGCCCCTGCATGGTCCAAGGCTGACAAGAGAGAAGATCTGGAAGTTTGGGGACACTCTCTCTGGGTTGGGCAATCTCGACTCCCCCCACCCCGCCAGCCCATCACCAAGAACCCTAACTGAGCCCCGCACACTCTACTTCTCTAACCTGAAGCCTGAACCTCGTAACATGCCCTCCTGTTGCTCTAACTCAATCAGGTGCAGTCAGTGAACCTCATGTCCAGCAACATCCCCAGGGTCTGACAGTAGGGGTAGAAGGGGAGTCTCCTCCAAGGGCCCCAACCTCTCTAGAGACAGACCGGACATTTGTCGTCTGTGGACTGAATGTATTTCCCTCATTCCACAAACCTCACTCCCAATCTCCCCTGAGTGGCAATGTGGTCTCAGTTGAAAATCATTCCTTGTGGTGCAGGAATGACAAAACAGGAATATCTGAATTGTTTGCTGACCTCTGTCTGGGATTGGACTTACACAATGCCCCTTCAGCTCTCACCTCGACCCCTCAAAAAGCTGGAGACCTGTCTGAGCAAGTGCCATTTCTGCAGGCTGTGGTCAGACATCTGATGGTGATTAGTTTTCCCAGACCACTGGTGGAACTGGTCTCCAAAAAATTTTGTTCTGAAACGTCTCAGGGTGGCTTGAGCTTTGAGTAGTTTTACTTCCTGCAGTGGAATTCTTTTCTTTGTTTATTTACACCTGTTTGGACATTTATTGATTTTGTCACTGAAAGACTATCAGTGTCCACTAGGATTTCACCTGCAATGGACAATCTGTGTCATGGAAAATTTTTATTACAGAAAGTCCAAAACATATAACAAAAAAAATATTATCATGAACTCTCTACACCTGAAGCCCCGCATCAGCAATGTAAAAGACACGGCAAATCTCACTCCATTTTTCCCCTCACCTGTGTACATCACAGCCACTGGAAAAATGTAGAAGAAATTGAAAGAATTCCATTATTTCATCTTTCAATATTTCAATATACATTTGGAAATAATAAGCGCAATTCAAAATAAATGCAATAAGGGCCGGGAATTTAGCTTAGCGGTTTTGCTGCCTGCTGCGCAAGCACAAGGACTGGAGTTCGATCCCTGGTACCAAAAATAAATAAATAAATAAATGCAATAGTTATCATTTCTGAAACAGATAAGTGATAATCACATATTCAACTCCATTAAATACTTTTCTGATAGACTCATGCTTTTGAAGTAGCTTCTCTGAATGCATATTCAATTATGGTACATAGCTGTAATTCTTGTTATGTCTCTTAATTCATTTTTAATCTCAGCATTTCCTCCCCTTTCTCTCTTTTCCCTTGCAATTGGTTTAGTTGTTGAAAACAGCAAGCCTCTGTTCTTTTCTGTTTGCCATATTCTGAATTTTGCTGTGTGCCACACTGTGGTCTGTTTTAATATATTCTTCATTGCCTAGTTTCTAGGCCCTCATGATTTTACAGTTTCATCTTGTATTATGACCTTCCCCAGTCCTAAATTCAGCCATTTCTCTAAGAAAGTCTGGTTTCTTCTATGAAGAATGGTTCTAGAAATCAATATCTGGGTGCTATGGGTGTGCATTGATACTGGGGAGTTGTCAGGTATCAGCTTCTTCTGCTGACTGCACAATGAATATACTGTGTATATATAGCATGTTTATATACAGACATTTAAAAACATTTATATATGTGAACTAGTGTTTTGGTGTTAAATTGAATATGACTTTATCCTGATGTCTCCAACTGTAAACTATTTCCATGAAGATCATTCTAGCACCTCCTCTGGACAATCGATAGACTCCCCTTCCATCAGTGAGAGTCCTGCATCCTTCCCACCATACACCTTCTATTTAATTAATGGTTCAGATGCAGTATATTGGAATTGGAGATACAGATTTGTTGAACCTACCCTTGTACCTCACGGGGAACATCTGTATTAGCTGCTGTACAGTGTTCACTTGAAGCTCCCTGACCTTTAGTCTCACTGACTTATTTTCATTTCCAACAGTGATTTCTTCTTACCTGCTTCACTGATATTGTGAATTCAGTTGTAATACATTTAGGATTTTTCTCATTGGTTACATTCTACATTCTATGCTGGGATTTACCACCTCTTCAGTATTATTTAAATTTGCATACAGTAAGTTTATCTCTTTGTGCTGTAAAGTTTTAGAAGTTTGACAAATGGGTTGTGCTTTTGTCTGAATAAGGTAGGACTGCTTTAATTAACTTTCTTCTTGCTGAACACAGTATCTGACATCTGCAACATAAAGGAGCATGGGATTTATTAATTCATATGTTCAGTCTATAAAAAGCTGGCTCAAAGATAGGAACACCGTGGGAGAAGGACTTGGAGGAACAAAGCTCCTCAATTTATAGTGGCCAGGAGGCAGAGCTGGAGAAGAGCCTAAGAGAGGAAAGCCAGTTTCCTGCTTCAATGACTAATACTGTCACACTGAGGAACATGTTATACTAACCTAGTAGGTGTTCCCTAGTATAATGCAGTGGACATACCAGAATTAACAGTCAAAATTCACCTGTAGTCTTCACACCCACACACATCTATTTTAATCATAATTAATCTCCAAATGAAGACAATACCAAGTTCACAATTCCATATAACGTAATGCAACTATCCTGCATACAACTGAAAATGGAATAATCTTTTCCTAAAATTCTCAACAATTCCAGCATTTTTCAAAAGTCTCAGTCCAAGTCTCTTCTGAGACTCAAGACAAACCCTGTGCTTTGACTTTAACTGACTTAAGTTTGTATCCAACATCACCTACATGTCCAAAGACTACCACAATGGAAAGAGTTAATCAGAAGCATTTTTAAATGAATGTCCAAGGCATACATTTCCTGATGGTTTTACTATTCCTGAACATGTATATGTCTTGGGATTCAAGTGTGCACTGATTGGTGTGGTTTTCCTTTATCCTCTGAAACTCTGTTATCAAGCATGGTTCATCTCCTGTCTTGGAGCTGGGCAGACCTGGTGTAACTTGTTCTAGCCTCAGAGGGGGCAATGCTCAGTGCTCCTCAAATAGGACAGGGGTCTATATGTTTATATGTAGACATTGGCCATGGAAGGCCCTCTCACTCATGCTCCATGCTCACTTCCCTGTACCTAATCCCACCTCCAAGCTCTGTAAGGGAGAGTCCTCCAGGAGAATATGCTGAATGCCCAGGGAAGGACTTGCACCATCCCTGCCCCCAGTGTTTGTGTTTGGTGGAAGTGCAGGAGCAACATTCCACATTCTCCTTGCCACAACTTGAAACTACAGGGCAGCCTTCACACAGTGATTTTAACACCATTGTTGCTTATGCCATTGCTTAAAACAGTATGCACTTACCGCATTGTCAAGTTCAGTAGGTTGCTATAAATGTATAATTACCAAGGAAGCAAAACAACAGTATTTATTGTACAGAATAGATTCTCTGCCCTAAAAATTCCCCTGCCTCCGTATAGTCAACCTTTCTTCACTTTCCCTTTCATGAACCACTGTCAGGCAGTAATCTTTTATTATCTCTCTTATTTTGCCTTTTCGAGAATGACAAACCTGCAATTGTATACTACATAGCTTTTCAGAATGATTTTGGTTATTTTGAGCTTCTCTCTTTTATCTTGTTTAGTCTAGCTAAAGGTGTGTCTATTTCATTAGTCTTTTCAAAGTATAACGTTTTCCTTGCATCAATTTTCTCTAATTATTTTTATATTCTATTTCATTCCTTCTATCCTGTTCTTCAATATTCCTCCTGTCTTAATGCTTATTTTCAGATGGTTTGCTCTTGTTCTCTTCTCTTAAGTTTTTAAGACTAGCTTATTATTGTTTGACATCACTTTCCTTTTTAAGGACATCATAGGCTTTATAATGCTAAATTTATGACTGCTGTTTTTGTGCATCCTATAACTTTTTTGATATGCATTTATTTTTCTTTTTTTTCATTGTCATGCTGCAATCAAACCAGGGCCTTTTGCATTCTAGGCAAGATCTCTCCCAACTGAACTACAGTCTAAGCCCAAGTCATATACAGTTTTGTTTTTGTTCATTTTAACATAACTTCTACTTTCTCTTGTCACATTTCCTGTACTACATTTGTTGTTTCTAATGGACTGAATTTTGTCCCCTTACCAGCATATTCATAGGACTGTCCCCACTCAGTACCAAAGAATGTGATGGTGTTTGGTTGTGGGTGCTTAAAGAGATACAATACAGAAATAACACAAAAATTAAAACTAGGGATTATATCAAATTGAAGGGATTCTACACAACAAAGTAACCAACCTACACAGTGAAGAGACAACCTAAAAAATTGAAATAAATTTACCAGTCACTCCTGTTATAGAGGACAAATATCCAGATTACATAAACAACTGAAAAAATTAAATTGCCCAAAATAAAAGACTCAATCAAACAACGGGCAATTGAAATGACTAGACATTTCTCCAAAGGAAAAATAGAAATGGCCAATAAGTACATGAAAAAGGCTCAACATTTTTGGTCACTAGCAAAATACTAATTAGAACAACACTGACATTCAA